CAAAATGTAGCAGTACTTCTGTTCTTCTGTTTATGACCTCTTAAACAGAGCAGTAAGTAGTGTTTGTAACATTCTGATTTTGACCCAGAGTGTATCCGAATCTCTGAAAGTCTCTGACACAGGTACCATACACATTAATCACCTTTGGGTTGGACTTAGAGTGAAAGAAAACAAAATAAAACTTGAGAGGTGGAGGGAGGTGGGAAAGATGGACATGACGGATGAGGAGGAAATGCTGCACTGAAGCTGTGAGGTGAAAGGAAAGCAGGCTTCCACAAGCAGTCACCTTCTTTCTCACTCCTGCACACCCACATCTCACCAGGATGCAGTCCCCGGACTTTCTGCTAATGTGAACTTTGCTGGCAAATGGAATGTTCTTTGATTTTCAATGTGTAATCATGGAAATGTTTTGTGTTAATCACTGTCACAGAGTTTCAAGGTTAAAATCAAACTATGAAGTTTAATGGGAGGCAACTAGAAAAAAAAATACAGTCGGGGGCTAGAGAGATGGCTCAGTGGTTAAGAGCACTGGCTGTTTTTCCAGGGGTGCTAAGTTCAATTCCCAGCACCCACGTGGTGGCTCACAACCATCTATTGTGGGATTTGATGTCCTCTTTTTCATGCAGGAATATATGTAAGTAGACCACTTATATACATAATTAAATAAATCTTTTTTTTTTTTTTTTTAAGAAAGGAAATTACAGTCCAGGACTACAAGACGCTAAGTAGACAAAAGCAGGTCTGCTGCAAAAAGGACTACCGGGTTTCAAAACAATATTGCAAAGCTATAAGAAATAAACTGTACAGTCCTAGAATAAAAACAGATATAGACTTTGAGAAAAGAACAGATGCCTCAACTGTAAATCCATGCATTATCAGTCTTTTGATTTTGACAATGTTATCTGGACCAAAAAAAACTGGAATGCTATAAAGTCTCCTGTAAATAGTGCTAGTAAGCACAAATGAGAAAAACTAGGCCCTTGTCTCACAGCAAACAATAAAAATGGACTCAAATGGATTTATGATATAAATACAAGACCTGAAGCTATAGATAGCAAGTAGAAAATATAAGGGAAACGGGGCTGGAAGGATGGCTCATGGTCCAGAGCATGTACTGCTCTTACAGAGGACTGGAGTTGGGCTTCTAGGACCTACATTGTGTGATTCACAACTGCTTATAATTCCAGTGATTCTGGCCTTGAGAGGCACACAAACATACACATGAACACATCCATTGGCATGATTTAAAATAATACAAATATAAATATTTTAGAAAACATATGGGAAATGCTTCTTGATATTGGTCTAGAAGAGGGTTTAGACAAAGTATAAAGCTTGTATAGCAAAAAAACAGTAAAGAAAGGGGACAGCTGACAAAATATTTGCAAACCAGACATTTAATAAGGAGTTACTGCCCAAAATTACAAGGAGCTCAACTCAATAGTAACCAATGGATGACACCATTTGAAAACGGACAGATCTGACTGACAGCTCTCAAAAGATGGCATTGCAAATGGCCACGAAATATGTAAAAATGCTGGATATCACAAATCTTCAGAGAAGTGTATGAAAATCACAATATTGTGCTGTGGGATGTCCTTTATGCTGTAAATATATGTTGCTATGATTGATTGATAAATAAAATGCTGATTGGCCAGTAGCCAGGCAGTAAGTATAGGCGGGACTAGCAGAGAGGAGAATTGAGGGAACAGAAAGGCAGAGTCGGAGAGACGCGGCCAGCCACCGTGAGGAAAAGTATGATGTAAGACATCAGTAAGCCACAAGCCACATGGCAAGGTATAGATCTATGGAAATGGGTTAATTTAAGCTATACGAACAGCCGCAGTGGTGGCACATGCCTTTAATCCCAGCACTTGGGAGGCAGAGCCAGGTGGATCTCTGTGAGTTCGAGGCCAACCTGGGTTACCAAGTGAGTTTCAGGAAAGGCACAAAGCTACACAGAGAAACCCTGTCTCTGGGGAAAAAAGAAAAAGAAAAAAAGATATAAGAACAGCTAACAAGAAGCCTGAGCCATTAGGCCATACAGTTTGTAAATAATATAAGTCTCTGTGTGTTTGCTTGGGTCTGAAGGCCATGGGAGCCAGGCAGGAACAGGATAACTTCAGCTACAATATTGTGTTAGCTCATATACAAGAATGGCTATTGTCAGGTGGCCAATCTGTAGTAAGTATTGTTAAGAATATGGACAAAAGAGAACCCTGTAGACTGTTGGGGGCAATGCTCAATTAGTAAACCCATAATGGAGAAACAATATGGAGGACTCTGAAATGACATAGCAATCTTGTATTTCCCAAAGGGAAAAAAAAATCAATGTATTATAGACTCTCTCTCCTAGTCAGTGAAGCCTTTGTTAGATTTCAGCTCAGTGTCCACTCATGAGTGACAGAAGAAAATGTGCATATGTAGAATTTAGGACATTCAACTCATAGGCAGAGAAAGTAGACCAGGGATCACCAGAGGCTGTGCCTGGAAAGGTGGAAAGGGGAAACCAATTGCTCCACAGCAGAGAGAGTTAGAGCAGGATGTGTACACTTGAGAGCTTTACTGTGCGACCTGGCTGATGCAGTAAATGCCACTGTACACTTGGAAAGTTGCTGAAAATACTTTAAATCTCATTACAAAAGATAAGTAGACTTAGGGGTACATATACATGGATGAATTATTAATAGCTTAGTTTGAACAGTAAATGTGTACATATTTTAAAACGTGGTATGTTGTAATAATATGCAATTTTTACTTTTCTATTATACCTTAATAAAGATTTGGCACGGGGCAGGAAGCCACCCATGTACATAGATGAGGATTAAAAATTAATTAATTAGAAAATGAGTTTAAGTTACTAGAATCTTTCCCCCTTCCCTAAAAAGACTATGATTTATATGTTCTACTCAAGTTTAACTTCATGAAGTTTGCTTTCTTTGATTTAATGTTTGAGGCAGGGTCTGCCAATGTAGCTCAGGCTGGCCTTGAACTTGAGAACCAGCTGTCTCAAATTCCCAAGTGCTTGGATGATGTGACAATATTTGGTTATATACCAAAATTAGGTTTATACATAATCTGGCTATTCACACAGTTCTTTCACATGGTGAAAGCTAGTCCAGTGTAGGATGCGGGATGACTATGCTTCCCTGTGTCTCTCACATGTGAATTATACTTAAAAGAACCAGGCTTCTCCACTGCAAGAAGGAACCCTGTTCTTTACCTGCCATTATTAGTTTAGAGAGATCTTTATCTCAAACCTCAAACAATATGAAAAACAGCAGTACACCTATTTCAAGAATGACAATCCAGAGGCGGGTGAGATGTCTCAGTGGGTACCATGCTTGCTACCTCAGTTCATACTCCCAGCATTCACATGAAAAGCCAGGAGGAATGCCAACCACACCACCCAAGTGATGATCTCCACTGTGAGAGACTAAGTCTCAAGAGAAAACAATAAAATGGAGAGTGAGAAAGGAAGACACTCAACTTTGGCTTCTGACCTCCACACGTCCAGGCATAGATGTGTGTATCTACACACACATATACATACAGCACACACAGACAAGAGTAATAGTAAATGTTCAGGAATACCACCCAACTAATGCACTGTAAGGTTTAGTGCCCAGGCTCAAACATCCTGTGGTTCTTATTTACTGCTTGCTTCAGGCTTTAAAGAGTTGACTGCAGGCAAAATGAGCATTGAGTTTAATATGATATCCTATGTCAAAGTCCTGCCAAATATTTTGAAAAATCTTTTTTGATGAAAACTTAGAACAAAAATTATGATATGAGAAAGATAAAGATAGGCCTTGATATAGATGCTATGAAATCTCTCTTATCATGTTAGGGTCCGCTTAACTCTTACAAAAAAAAGCTTGTTTTCAGCTTGAAGGATTTTAAAAGATGATTGCAGGCTGGGCGGTGGTGGTGCGGCGGCGGTGGTGGTGCACGCCTTTAATCCCAGCACTCGGGAGGCAGAGGCAGGCGGATCTCTGTGAGTTCAAGGCCAGCGTGGACTACAGAGGGAGTTCCAGGAAAGGCACAAAGCTTACACAGAGAAACTCTGTCTTGAAAAACCAAAAAAAAAAAAAAAAGGGATGATTGCTTACTAACTGCTTCCTGATGCCTTTTTCACCATGTGTTTTCCAGTACATTTCACAATCATGACTGTCTGAGAAAGTGTAGTGCTGAATGTGGAAGAGACGCTGAGCTTTCAGCGGGAGGAACTGAACTCGTCTCATGAAAACTCAAGATACAATTAAGACTTATTGTCCTGCCTTTTCTTTTTTATATAAATAATTGAAGAAATTGCCTTCAATTCAATTGGCAAGACATGAAGGAAGTTAGGCTAACACACATAGGGTTATTCAAATCTATATAGGTTCTTCAGATCAATTTGACAGTGATTATAAAGGAACTTCTATAACCCTATTTGTACATTTGGGAGCAGAGTAGCTTCAGAAATAGAGAAGAAATAGTTCATCTTATGGGTCTGTCTCATTTATTGTCCTAAATATTTGTCTTTTCTCATATCCTTGCATTTTACAGTTCCCTTGTACTGAGCACACTGTTGAAACACCACAGAAAAGCTGATGTCTCTTGCACTTAAGCTTCATGAATATTTTACTTTTAAAACTCTACCCTCGGGGTCCTTGCATCACTAGAGCATTATATTCCTTTCTTGATGCATAAATTATCTTAAAAATGCCTCCAATTTCAAGCAAGGTCAGCCTGAAAAAAATCAGAAAATCAACAGGACTGATTTAATGCAGTTTGAATACAGAAATATACAAGTTAGAAAAATGATGCTATGTATAATGTGTTGCTTTCTAATATCAGTTACCACTGCTTAAAATTCAGTTTAATAACACATTTTATATAAAATCACTCATTTCACTTCTCTCTTACATCCATATATTACACACACACACACACTTCATTGTGTCCCTGACATGAGGTCACAATAAGGCAGAATCTTGTGTCCTGCCTTCACCTAACAGATGTCACTGAATACTCTACCGTGGTCACGGAAACCATGGGAAGAGGGTGGGTGTGAGAAGAAGTCTTTTATGAGGAAATGGCTTTGAAGCTAAGCTCTGAACTATCTCCTCCTGAGGTATGTAGAAGAGAGAAACCAGCAGGCAGGGCTGAGTGTGTTTGAAGAGTGGGCGTGGCCAGCCTGGTTTGAGCAGACTCAGTGAAGCAGAGACAGCTGTGATGAGAGCAGAACTCAAGCAGGGTCAGGGTCTTAGAGTACGTGGAAGCCTTGGTGCTGAAACAGACCTTGTAGACTCTGAGCGTCCGTCACTAAGGAGTTTCACCAGGGAGGTATATAGAATGATTTTTCGGTATAAGATGCTATTTCTGTGCCTGTAAGGACGCAGCATGTCACACTTTGTGACTGGGAAAGAGTAAGGAAAGAATACAAGAGAAGATTCAAAAAATAACTGTGGTATTGTAAAAGTACACCCAGATGCAACTGTCCTTTCTTCTCAGTGGCAACAAGGAATGTACTTACATTTTCATAATAATATATTTTAAACAATATTTAAGTAGTATATTGTTACTTAAACTGCAGAATCATAAAACTTGAAGACAACAGATTTTGCCCTGACCAGTGTTTCACATCATAATGGAGGGACTTGACATCCTTTTCTTTTAATATTAATCTTTATTACTCAAAAATTTATTCCATCATATATAAGCATGATATTTATGGAAAATATTAAAATTCTAAGTACTGATGCTTGCAGCATCACTTTGGTAGCTAGAGCACATCTCTCATCCTTTGGGAAGCCCCATTCTGCTCTTATCCTTGGATGAAATGTTTGCATTTCAATATAGGAGGGCAACCACACCTTTGTCGATTGACTTAAGCAAAGTAGTTTCCTGTTCCTTCACGTTTGTGTGAGGAGCGGGTTTCCATATACTGGGAAACCATTTCTAACAGACCCAGAAAGCTATGGATGGCAACTGTTTAAATATAAAACATCTTTAAAAATAAGCAAATTGAGTGACACATTTTGTTTTCATACTGTAAAGCTGTATCTACTAAAATTTAGACACCTTTAATTCTGTTCCCTTTGAAAATTAAATTACATGAACTTTTGTCTTTAAAGATATCCCTTATATTTTCCAAATAAGCTTAATTAAGGAGTAACTTGATAAAAGATTTCTGGTTCAAGGTTTTAAACTGCCTTTGTTTCTTCTCCTGAGACTATTAAAGTTATTGATAAAGTCTAAAACCAGATGAATTCTATAACCCATACTCTATGAAGCCCAAGGAGAAGTTTGGGCCTTGAAAAACCTGGCACAAAGAAATGTACAAGCTAAAAATGGAACAAAACAGTTTTGAATGAAAATCTCTAGTAGGTACAATTATTACTTGACTCCCAGCCTCTGCTGCTGCCAGGATTTTCATTCAGGTTTTCCTCTAAAGAGAAGTCCCCATACCATCTCTTTGCAGTCCTTAAGCACAAATGACCCTTCCTAATTAAACCTTTCTAATTTCAGATAAGGCTTGGTGTATTCCAGCATCAGGGAGTTGGAGCCAGGAGGATCAGGAGTTCATGGTCAACTGCATGAAACCCTGTCTCAAAAAAACAAAACACAAAGAAAAACCAAACCAATCAAACAAACAACACCAAAGAAAAATAAAGCCTCCCAAAGAAACAAAAACCCCAACCCCTTCCCCCTTCAGGACATTTGGTGATCCCAGGATAATAGGGGACCTCAGGGGTTTCTGCCAGCCATGGAGCTTGCAGACACCCTAACAGCTACTAGAGCCACCAGACAGGTGAGAAAAGTATTTAAAAAAAGAGAGAGAAAAAAAAAAAAAAACAAGTGAAGCTGACAATCAGCCAAACACACAGTCCATTAAAAATTAACACCGCACCCCTCTAAGCAGTAAGTATTAAGGTTCAGGAATTACTCTTTAACAAAATTAAAATCTGGAAATTAAAAGAAAGTAAAAAAGGCAGGGACAATTAGGAATTTCAAGCAACTGAGAAAATGTTAACAATTAATACCAATGGTAGAGAGATTTGAAATATACCAATAAAAATAAAACTCCAAAGAGACAAAAAAGATACATCGAAGGGCAATGTAGAAACATCAAACATTTTCTAACATGATTTTTTTTAATGAAAGGAAATGAAAAAGAAAAGAAAAATGAAGAAAAGAAAGAAGATGAATTGATTGGATTATTTCAAAGAATTCCCCAGAGTTTGAATTTGTATGTCTTAAAAACATCTAGTTACATTGTAAAAGCACAAGAACCCCGAAACAATGATTACCAAGTGTATTTTCTTTTACACAAATTTTGGGACATTGGTGTACATCAAAAATAAATAGAACTTACACCCCTTTTCTTTTCTGCAGAGACAAAGTTACTGCATAGCTTCTTAGGAAACTGTAATGATAAACTGGGTGGTTTAAAATTTTGGAAATTTGTTTTCTCAATTTTGGAGGTACAAGTGGTATTTTCTGCAGGGGCCAGGTCTCTGTAGCTTCAATATTTTTTTTGCCTTGCCATCATTTCTTGGTTGGCTAGAAATTTTAGAAATTTCATCTTATACCTGCTTAACT